TATTGTAGACAAACAACGTTGTTGGAGGGTGGATGGATTGCGCCATAACGACGATATCAAATGGAGGTTGGCGGAATGTCGGGTTGAAGCCTTGCAATTCAAAGTTAAAGATCAAGTTCAAGCTTCATCCGCATGTGTACCAAGTTGAGCTACAATGAAGATCAAGATCAAGCTTGGGTAATCTAGTTTAGATTTTATATTATGTGTGTTAAGTACCTTAAGCTCAATATCATATACACACACGTATTTGGTTTCTATGTATATATATAGTTATATATATACATGCATGGTTTTGGGTTTTCATGTTTTGGACATACTTGCAAAATACATGAGTTTTCACAAATGGAAATTCAATTTGATAAATTCTTTTTCTAACATGTTTGTTTTCATGTTTATAAACATTTCACAAAGTTTCATCAAGTTTGGAATTGATTTGTTATGTTTAATGGAATTTACAAAATCATGTTTTTCGTTCGTGCATGTTCGTGCATATTTTACAAAACAGATGAGTTTTTATAAATGGGAAGTGATATTCAAGAAATTCTTTCCTTGACATGTTTATCTATATGTTTATAAACTTCCCTCAAAATTTTACTATTTTTGGTGTTGATTTACTGTGCCCAATTGATTTTACAAAATCGTGTATGTCAGCAGATTTTCAGAAACTGTATATCTGTGTTTAAATATTTATTTCTCTCAACTGGAAAATTATTTTTCAGAAATTATTTCTCTAATATGTCATTATACATGTCTAGAACCTTCCCACAAAATTTTATAATTTTTGGAGCTGATTTACTATTTTTAATTGATTTTACAAAGCTAGATATGCAAATTTCCAGAATGCTGGATTTTGGGGTATTTTGGTCTTTTCAGCCTATAACGGCTAGTTTTTGATATTTTCGGTTTTTGGGGGTTTGTGGCTGGTTTAAGAGGCTATAAAAAGCCCTCAACTTTCATTGTTTCTTATGGATGTTTAAGAGAGTTTTAAAAAGAGTTTTACAAGTTTGTTGAAGAGTTTTTAAGTTTGTTTCAAGAGTTTGTTTATGAAGAAAATTCCACAAGAGCTTGAGGAGATCATCTATTGAAGTTTGAGCTTCCAACTATTCTCCCTCCACCTCTTGATCTATTGAGAAGTTTTCTAAACTCTTATCTAGCTTTACATTTGCTTAGTTATTTGATTATCATTCTTTAAAGCTAGTTTTTATATTGAGTTTAGATTTGATTATATTATCTCATTGTTACACACACCCACTTGAGCTTATTGTATTTGCATACATAGTATATTAGGGTTGTGAGAGATTGTAACATTGAGTTGTGCTTAATTGAGTTCTCATCTATTGTAGAGAACAAATTTATATTTGTTACATTGTGAGTGGTGTAAGGTTTTCGAAGGGGTCCATCGCCGAGGATTAAGTTTCTTTATGTCTAATGTAATTTCAGAAAAGGAGTTCAAGTTGTTGTACTACGCCAATTTCATTTTTAATAAAGTAGTTGTTTTCATTCAATGCCAAAATTTTCAACTTCAAGTACAATCATAAATCTAATATAAGATACTAATTGATAATTAGGAAGAACTAATGAGGATGCGATGCGAGTACAATATATGATAATTAGGAAGAACCCTTGGACATCCACCTCTCCAATATCTCCTCTAGGGTCTAACAAAAGTATTGTCGTTGAACTGAATTGAGTGTTGAGAGATCGATCTTCATGATATCGTCATCTTGTTTCTTCTGTTTTAGCTCTATTTTTTCTTTGTTGGTTTGCTTCATCCACGCGAAAGCCTCTCCCATAATGGACTTAGTGGAGTCAGATTTTTCCACATTTTGTTTCCTCTTGAGTTTTGCTGCTTTCCTCCCTTCAGGCCTTGCTATAACATCATCCGAGTCAGTGTTCAACTCGATGGGGGTCGCTGGCATGAAATTGTTTGGTGAGGAATCAGAGTTTATGGTTCTTCTTGGCTGTGATCGAATCTTATTGTAGGTTTCCATTTGTTGGATCCACTTTTGGTGATGACGCAACTCAACCCAGCAATGGTCAAACACGAATGGCTTACCATAAAGGGATTGGTATAATTCTTTTACTTCTGCAGTCTACACAAGAGTTAAATTTAGAATAATCAAACATATAAGTTAAATATTTACATAAAAACATATAAGTTAAATATTTACCTGGTCAATAATTCCCGTACCAGATCTTTGTCTTCCTTCAATCTGAGCAACGCACCCGTAGAACTTGTTGACAGACTGTTGAATCGTTGACCAACGGTGCATCATTTGGTTTGGTGTGCGACTCGTTGGATCGGTGGAGTATTGGATAAAGTAGTCGTTAGCTCTGTGCCAGAACTTATCTTTGTGTTGCCCCGTGCCTTGGAGGACGTCTTGGCTCGTGTTCAGCCAAGCAGACACAAGAAGCTTATCCTCGTGGACAGTCCAATTTTCGGACCGCGTGTAAGCCTTCATCTTCTTTGTGGTCGGTGTTTCTTGAGATGACACTTGTTGTGTTGCGGACTGCGATAACTCGATGGGATGACCTTCTTCTACGACTTCTGTATAGAACGGCGAGTATAAGGTCGATCCTTCACCGGTAAGGAGTCGCGAATAGTAGTTGTTTTGGGAGGGATCCATGAGATTTGTAATTTGATAGGAAAATATATAGTTTTTTTTAAGAGAAAGTTGTGTGGATTGTGAATTGTGAATTGTGAATTTATAGAGGCTTTTTTTACTGTTCAACAGCAAGAAAATGGAGCCCACAACTGTCATTTTCATAACTCAACGGTAAGAAATTTTTTCACTCAACGGTTCATTTTTTACACTCAACGATTCATTTTTTCACTCAGTCTCATTTATTACACTCAACGTTCATTTTTTCACTCAACTGTCATTTTCATTGTGAATTTATGGATGTGGAGCCATTAAAATAAAACACAGTAAAAAAACTCTTCATCAAAACCCACGAACCCAGAGCTCTTCCAACGAATTTCCCCCCAAACCCAGTAAAAAAACTCTTCATTTTCCCCCAAACCCATGCCTCTTCATCTCCCCAACCCAAACTTCTTCTCCCCAACCCCACATCCACGCCTCTTCAACCCCGTCGAAACCAACCCGCGAGCTTAAGACTCAACCACCGCCGCCCATCGGATCTCTGGCTCCCCAACCCGCGGCCTCTGAGACTCAACCACCGCCGCCCATCGGAGTACAGACCAGCCGCCCGCGCCCACGAAGGTGAAGTCTGCCGCCGCCGATCTCATCAATTTGAGACGAAAAGGTTGGATTTTTGCTTCAATTTTGGGCAGATCTGCAAAGGTTATTGGGGGGGGGGGGGGTTGTTAAATTCCGGCCAGTTGGGAGCTCTCAAACGCTCCACAAATTTGTGGAGCGCTTGGGAGCTTGGAAGCACCCCAAAGCCAGATCAGCCTTAGGAGAGGGGCTTGGGAGGAGTTAGGAGTTTGCTGGAGGGGGTGCTGCCAACTTCCACGGCCACGTCAACCTTAAGAGCCTCCTTCAGAGCTTGATGCCCTTGCTCTTCAGAGTTATATTAAAATCTCTCAACCATTTAGGCCATCCATACTGAGTATTTTCAATGTGTTTTTCTAGAAAAACACAACACCAAAAACACCTTGGTAGCCAAACAAACCCTAATAACCCATACTGGGTAGTGGACACTACGGACAATTCCTGCCCGTAGATAAATTACATGGTTATTAGCTTCACATGCTTAATCTTCAGGGGTACAGTCGATGAACTGCAATATAACTTTTATAATCAAATAGTTGCAACAGCTTATGTAGTAACTTTTGATCTGATTTCTTTATTTTGATCGCAAGCAAGCTCCTCTGCATAGAGATCATAAGATGAAAGCATATCAGAGCAGACCCAGCCGAGGAGCTTGGAACCATTTTTGTAGGCAGGACCACAGATGGTATCATCTCCAACAATCACAAAATATAATGTCTATATCACACTTCCAATTAATATAACTGAAAAATTTTCTCAAATATATGGGAATCCTTCAGACCATCCACTTCTGGGTTCGCTTCCCTTCAAAGTGACGTGTATTATCCAACACTGCGTATCAACTTAAAGTAGCCTTTAAATTTGTTTCCACAAAAGAATGATAATGCATTTATAGGCCTTGAGAAGATAAATTAATAGTTTTGATTAGGAGCATAAAAGGTCAACAAAAGGATAAAGTGAAGCGCAGCAACAAACAAAATCAGGTTCGGAGTCTCTAATGAAAGTCATAAAAATGAAAAACGAAACTGATCGACAAGGAACGATCCAAGTTTAACTCTCAGTCTGCTCCCTGAGCCTCCTGATGGTACTCCTTACCGTGACAGCACTTGCAGTGCTGTTACAACAAGGGGCCAAAAACAAAGGAAAAAAAATCAGTAATTGAGATTAACATTGTATTCAAGAAATATTCTTCAGGAGAATTTATGAAGTGCTAGATGCAACAAATGACTTACTTCAGAGTGTAAGCACCTCCAGCTTTGACTTTGCCGCAGTCCTTGCATCCCCAAATCCCAACAGCTTTCCTCTTCACAGCATACTGCATTTTGATGCATCCGCATAAATATAGAATGTTGATATTGATAAATAAAGGGTTATTTGCACTTCAATACCCCCAATATTTACACCATTTTTAACTTTGCTACCCCAAAGATTTTTCCCCAAAATATACCCCAAAGTTCACATCAATTAAACATTGATATCACCAAGGTTATTTTTGCCCAAAAAACAGCCCAAAGATCAATACAAATTTAACTTTGATAACAAAAAACATAAATCCTAACTTTGATAGCCCAAACTTCAACAATATTTTTAATTTAAAGTTTGAGGGTATTGAAGTTAAAATTTGTTGAAACTCTTTTTGGGCCAAAAAAAAAGTTTGGGGCTATCAAACCTAAATTTTGGGTATTTTTTTGGCAAAAAAAAGCGGGTACTCAAGTTAAAAATGAGGTAAACACTGGGGCATTTAAGTACAAGTAACCCATAAATAAATAAAAGGTACTAGTAAAATACCTTGCCACAGAACTCGCAGAAGTATTTTGCATGTTGGCTCACCTCCATTTTCTTGATCTGTTTCCTAAGACTCGCACCATATCGGGTGCCTGTAGTATTTTTCTTAAGTCAGTTTTCAATATTATATGCTAAATGACATCTAAAACCTAAGATCTCCTTAATCTTGCTATAATGAGAGTATTATGAATTTCGGAACAAATTTAACTTACCATACTTCCCAACAATTCCTGCCTTCTTGGTGCGCTTAGTCTGAATCAACAACACAATGTGTCAAGAGGTCAAGTAAATTTGGTATCTCCATGTTAGGATTTGACCACAAATTGGAGAAAGTGGACAAAAAGTATCAAAAATAAAGACCATAGCTGAAAATTATGTATGATTATTGATTAGGACTCACCCATAGGTAAGAATTGCTATGGGGCTATAAGAAAAAATTGCTCTTTACTATTGAATGCAAACTATAAACTTATAAAGAACATGTCCTACCAGTTTTCTTCTAACAATGTGTTTCTGGTACATTAATCTACAGTAAGAAGTTTATCAAAATGGAGAAGGAAAAAAACACTGGCAACAACATAAACCTTCATCATGCATGTAATTTGACAGCATAGCAGTCTGGAGATAAGATGGTGCGATTCTTCCATCCAAATAAAAAGCAAAGCTAGGGGCCACTTTATCCCATATTGACAATACAAATCTTTGGATCCAAGCTTATAGCCATGTGGGGTCCCGCTCTTTAGTAACTAGCTTCTAAAGGTTAATTCTCCTAAAAAATTCTCCTAAATGTTTAACTCAACTTATCAGAACTAACAGCATGTCTTTCAATTGCCAGCATGTGACACAGATAGTGATAACAGAATCACAGTTTGTTTCAAACTAGTGCTTATGTTTTGGAGACCTAGGAGAACTCATATCCAAAAGCTAGATGTCAGAAAGCACGGAGAGAACTCAACTGATCAAATCTATATAAATTCACTCTCCCATTTAAACATGAGCCCTATCATATTCCAAAGCCTATCCTTGTATTCCAGTGTAGGCAAGTGCAGAGCTAGTCCAATAGAATGTAGGAAATGCAGAATTGTGGGGGTATATTCGGATCCATTAGGTTCATATTGAACATATATGCCGTTAGAATTGACTTTATTGAAGTTTCGGGTCCTTCCCATCTGACTGCTATCTTCTAGGATAAGTTCTCTTGTATCTCTCAACGAGCCAACTCTACTAAACAATCAAGGGTGAAGGCTCTAAACCTAGGGTTCAGATATGTTTTTTTAAGAGGGGAAGGGAAGGGATGAGGATATTACAATGCTAACCATCCAAAACTGTGTTTGGTTACAATTTTTAATTAGCAAGGGGTAGGAGAGCTAAAAAGCATATTCACCCAATTTTTCAATCCTCGTAAAACGGATAGATTGGGAGGGAATGGATTGAGAACAACGGGTTTGTACACATGCTTGGCCAGTAGGGTAGAGGAATGACTGAAGTAAATCCAAAGAGAGGGAGAGACATAATTAATTGTGCTTAAGCCTTGAATAGACAGGAAGGGGAAGAGAGGATACATTCTAATGTGTGTTTTAAATGTAGAGAATGGAAGGTGAAGGGAGGTACGTTACCAAAATTGTCCTTGAGAAAGCTACTAGGTCAGATTTAAAGCTTCCCCCGGCCAGAAGACAATTTGAAATTTTGAAAAAAAAATACTTAAACTCAATCCTTCCCCTCCCACTCCGTAATTTTTTTAAAAGGTTAAGAAAATCAGCACATGTGCTTCGTTTTAGCCCTCCCTTCTTTCATCCTCACTAATTAAAAATTGTAAACAACACAGTTACTAGATAGTTAAAATGGTAACCTTCCAACCCCTCCCTCTCGTCTTGAAAAGAGCCATCAATACCCATTGTTAAATAAATTTTTCTCAAAGTTCCAAAATATCCCTAGAGAAAGCTCCAAATTTGACCTGGTAGCTCTCTTTAGAGACAAAGATTCAAATTTGATTCTATAGCTTCAATTCTCTTCTCTTTCCTCTAAACAAACACAAGTTACAGTGTACTCTATCTTTCCCCTCTTTTCAATCCAAACACAATAAGTTCCTTTGACATAAATCCAATACCCTTGTACAAGCCTAATAACATATACCCAACGCACATTCACATTAGAGACACACACACACACATCACAGAGTTTAGTATTATGCAACTGTTTTTATGCCCCTCTCATTCCACAACCTCTAAATGTCTCCTCTAAGCACCCTTCATTTATATGGCTCTCTTTCTTTCTGCATCTCTATCCCTTCTCTTATTCCTCATCTATGGCTCTCTCTCTGCTCTCTCTCTCCCCTCTCAAACCATCTCTCTCCTCTCTCCCTCATTTCGTCATCTATCTCCCCCCTCTTTAATGATGGATTTTCTCTCTCTAAA